GACCGAAGGTCAAGAGACACATGAAAAAACGCTCAGTCACTAATCATCCGAGAGATGAAAATGAAAAGGACACTGAGGTACCATGTCACACCTGTCTGATGGCTATAACCAACTAATCAACCAAGGACAAGTGCTGGTGAGGATGTGGAGAAAAGGGAACCCTAGTTCACTGCGGGTGGGAATGCAGACTGGTGCAGCCACTGTGGAAAACAATATAGAGTTTCCTCAAGAAACTAAAAATGGAACTCCCATTTGATCCAGTGATCCACTTCTAGAAATATATTTTAGGAAACCAGAAACACCAATCAGGAAGAATACATGCACCCCTCTGTTCATTGCAGCATAATTTATAATAACTAAGATTTGGAAACAGCCCAAGTGCCCTTCAGCAGATGAGTGGATAGAAAGACAGTGGTACATTTACACAATGGAATATTATGCAGCAATAAAAAAGGAGAAGAAAAAAACCTCTTACCATTTGCAACAGCATGGATGGACCTGGACAGTATTATGCTTAAGGAAATAAGCCAGTCAGAGAGATACAAGTATCATATGATCTCACTCATATGTGGAATCTAATGCACAAAATAGATCCAGAGACATAGAAACATGGAACAGACTGTTGAACCTCAGAGGGAAGGCAGGGGAGGGTTGGTGGGTAGGAAGAGATCAACCAAAGAACCTGTATGCATATATGCATAACCCATGGTCACTGACAATAGGGTGGTGAAGGCCTGGGGTGGAGAGGGAGGAGGTGGGCTAGAAGAGGTCAATGGGGGGAAAAAAGGGAGGTATGTTAATACTTTCAACAATAAAGATTAAAAAAACAACAATCCTTTCTTGTTGGGAAAAAATGCAGCATAAATGAACACTATATTTTACTCTGTTCTTGGTCTCCTTTCTAAAATGTTGGTGTACTTCAGATTAAAAACTTGTTAAACCTTCTTTGCAGTGGCACTATAATTAAACTAAATCAAACTATCATCAATGAAATATAAGTACCTTTTTTCATCAGATTTGCACTACTCTATTCTACCCTATTCTGCTCTACCCTTTTCTATTCTATTCTGTCCTGTGCCATCCTATCCTATCCTATCCTATCCTATCCTATCCTATCCTATCCTATCCTATCCTATCCTATCCTATCCTGTTTTACTGGTGGCTTCTGTATTCCTCCATCATAGCCACTAACTTAATCACCTAATGTGGGAGACATCCAGGTTCTTCTTACAAGATGTAACGTGTCTGACTTCTTTTTTGTGCTTGCTTTTGCTTATTATCTCCTTTCTTTACATTACCCACCCATAGTTGCAATTTCAGGCTCTTTCTTTCATAGTTAGGGTCACTACAGAAGTTTATAACAAACTAAGTGGAGATTGCACTATCTAGGCTGCTCAATTTCAGAGAAAACAAGCATTACTTGGTAAGAGGAGCTCTGAAATATTGTTGCTTGCCACTATTATTTTTGCCTACCTATATCTATATCTATATCATCTATATCTATATCTATATCTATATCTACATCTACATGTACATCATCTATATACCTCCCTATCCTCCCAATAAAAAGGTCACTTTTTTCCTATTTTATT